AATTTTTGGCTTATCTGCGCGTTTCATTCTTCAATGGAAATGATCAATGGAAAATATTTTTTTAAATGAAGAATTTTTTGAAACTATATTGTAGGGGAGGGTAGGGCAAAATGGCCCAGTGCGGGCAAAATGGCCCACCTCATTTTTTTTTTTGAAAAACGCAAAAATAAAGAATATGGAAAGAAATGTTAAATAACTCCAAAATTCCTACTTTTTGTATGTTTCACATAATATTTCGCAGCGTCGAGATGAATTTTGAGAGGAGAGGGCAAAATGGCCCACTTGCAAATTGTTTCGAAAATAGAAAAAAAGAATATCAAATAACAACCAAATTCTTTATTTTAGAGGATTCATCCTAGTCGCCTTGAATTCCACGGGGTGTTTGGAGCATACGATTCGTAGGAGTTTCTCAAATTGTTCGGGCCCCAGTTTTTGCTTTAGTTCCGTAATTCTCATGCAGATAGGTTGATGACTCGGATTTCATTTCAAACAACACGAAATAATTGATTTTACACTGGAAATTTGAGATATAGGAGTCGGTGGGATTGATGGAGTTTGGATCCAGATCTAGTCTAGGGTTTTCTGGACTCGCTGATCGTCGCTGAGTGAGGAATGAGGAATAGTCTAAATGGGATCGGTATTTTGTTTCTTTCAATCCTTCTGGAGCCGAGTTCGTAGAGCTATTGGGGATTTATTTGAATTAAATACGAGAAGCCATTAGTTACGGATTAGAGATAGTATAGGAAATTTGAAGGAATTGAATGTAAAATTAGTGTGTAATTTTTTTCTTTATGATAAAAAGTGGGCCATTTTTCCCACTGTTCTGTTTTTTGGATGGAAACATTGAATTATCGATTGAAATCATATTGGGGAAATATTTTATATCAAATGCAAGTAGTTCGCATGAAAACATCAGTCATAACTAGGCTGTACAGGACGGTGGGCCATTTTGCCCTATCCTCCCCTATTTTCTATAGAAATCCACCCACTCGAGTTTTTTAAATTTGCTTTTCTGATTTTTTTCTATGATTATTTTTTTCATCCGGATTCTCGCCAATCCGAGCGCAGCATTGCTCAAAAAATTGTCAAAAATTCAGCTGACAATTTTTGACAATTTTGAACAAATGCTAGTCGAGCTTCTCAGTTGTTCGCATAACCAGATAACTGTCAAATATTCTGATAATAAAATTAAGAGTTTGGCCAAATCCGAATGAAAAAAATAATCCTCCGAATACCACTCGACCTAAAAAATGAATCGGATGTTTCCCTCTTGTTTCCCTGTACAGTAAAGATTGGGATANAACCTTTTTTATAGCCCTTGAAATTCTCTATAAAAAATGTATTCATCGAAATTCTTCTATCTCCCTTAGATGACGAGATAAAAAGCTACAGAGTAGACTGATGTCACTGACAACCCTGAAATATCATTTTTGAGCTGATATCATGTGAGAAAAAAAACGGTTTTCTGAATTTCGCTCTACATTCGTTTTTTCTAGTTTTCCACTTTGCCCCANTTAGTTACGGATTAGAGATAGTATAGGAAATTTGAAGGAATTGAATGTAAAATTAGTGTGTAATTTTTTTCTTTATGATAAAAAGTGGGCCATTTTTCCCACTGTTCTGTTTTTTGGATGGAAACATTGAATTATCGATTGAAATCATATTGGGGAAATATTTTATATCAAATGCAAGNGTTCCTTGAATTAGTTACTTGATTTGCTACACAAATGAGTTTTAAAGAAATTAACAAATAAATGCACAAGATATAAGGTGAACTTCAGATATTTTATATTCCATTTCAGCTTCGAACTTTCATAATAATAGTTACTTTGAATTTATATATCTTTATGGTCTTTAAAAACTAGTATTCGTTACAATATCGCATCTAGCAAAATCTTCTATATCTGAATAATTATTTCCGCTATGCTTTTATAGGAATTTGTGCCATAAAAATAGGTATCGCGGCTATGGACAAGTAATTTTTACTACAGAAATTCTCTCCGGGCACAATTAATAACTTTTCAAGTCAAAAATTTAATCAAGATAAAATCTGTAGCGAAGTGGTAAAATGAGGTAAGTGTATTTTTCCTATTTTCGTAAAACTCGGATTATCTCATATCAGTAAGGACTGATTTTAGGAGAGAAAGTCACAAAACCATTTTTGTAGCTGATTATTTTTCCAACAAAGAATGTTATTTGATATTTTCTTCTAAAATCATTCCTTAGTGAGATAATACGAGTTTTAAGAAGATGTGGAGAATGCACTTACCTCGTTTTACCATTTTGCTACAGAAATATATTCGTTCCTTCTTCAGAAATCACTTTTCCAATGAAAGGGCAAATGAGAGGCCTCCTTCATCAACCAAGAGAAAATTTTGCGAATAATTCTGACGGCATGTTGTCGTCAAATTTTTGTAGATATTTTACCGATAATTTTAATGGCTCACTGTCATCCTATTTTTGCGGAAATTTTGCCGATAATTTTGAAGACATGTTGTCGTCCTATTTGTGCGGAAATTTTGCCGATAATTTTGACTACATGTTGTCGTCCAATTTTTCGGAAATTTTGCCGATAATTTTGACGACATATTGTCGTTCAATTTCTGCGGAATTTTTGCTGATAATTTTGACGACATGTTGTCATTTAATATTTGCGGAAATTTTGCCGATAATTTACCGATTTGCTGTAATCCTATTTTTGCAAAAATTTTGCCGATAATTTTGGTGACGTGTTATCGTCCAATTTTTGCAGATATTTTGCCGATAAATTGGATGATACATTGATGGTAGATTTAACGAAAAAACTTGACGATGAACATGGTCATGAGCGTTCGTCATTTTGACGACAATTTCGCTGTTAAGTTTCGGAAATTCTTTTCGGAATTTAGTCGACAATTCAGCTGTAAAATTTCGGATGCTATGTCGACAATTTTCCGGAATAATGTCGGCATCTTGTTTTCTGGGATAAATACCCATTTTACCCCAATGAAATCGTAAAAGTTCACAGAATACCCATTTTGCCCCAACGAAATCGTATGTGGTCAGTAAATACCCATTTTACCCCCATGAAATCGTAGGAGTTCAGAAAAGACCCATTTTACCCCGAAGAAATCGAATGAGGTCAGAAAATATTCATTTTGCCCCTATAATATCGTATAATTCAATGTGCTTGAGATATCTCCNAACGAAATCGTATGTGATCAGTAAATACCCATTTTACCCCCATGAAATCGTAGGAGTTCAGAAAAGACCCATTTTACCCCGAAGAAATCGAATGAGGTCAGAAAATATTCATTTTGCCCCTATAATATCGTATAATTCAATGTGCTTGAGATATCTCCCTAATTGATTATTTTTAACTAAATATTATTTTGAATTTATCTATACAATTCTAACTTGAAAACTCTTCTTTACCCCAAAAACCATACTCCGTCACTACCGGATGGCGCCCCTTTCGCATTCGTATTTTAAGGTATGATACAGGGAGGCAAGGTGAAGCTTTGATGTCGCCGACACCGAAACAGGGGACAAGTTCCAATGGAAGCCGCGCACGGCGCTGTTGCGTCCCTTCCCCTCACGCGGATTAGATCTCCCATCACACGCCGATTTTACTTGCGTCGCGAGTTCAAATCCCCGTCAAATCAATGTTTTTTTTTTTCATGAGAGAGAAATAGTATATTTCGTAACGAGTGCAAAAAAGTGCTTTTTGGCGAGTGGGAGGTTTATATCACGAGCGGAAGGTGAGTGATATAATTTCACGAGCCAAAAACCACTTTTTTCACGAGTTACGAACAAAATTTTTCATCACAATGTGTCGGAAAGTTACTTCTCCGATACAGCGTGATGAAAATAAAATTTTGTGTTCAATCGAGAGGAACAGGATTAAAAAATGTTGAGATGAAAACTATATGATTCTCAGCAAATAGTTCCATGGGTCGAGCGATAAAGATTGACTGAGAGTCATGTCGACTAGACGATTGAAATACTAATTAGAAGAAAGAATAATTAACATCAGAAGTCCATTCAATTAATTATTCCTCTTCTCTTCAGTGAAGCTTAATAGGGAAGAATTGGGAGGGATGGGATTACGATAACGAGGATCCCAGTTTGAACTATGTTTTTTATTGTTTTCTTCTATGAACAATAAGTTTTGAAAAAGATACGAGGGTCATAATGGTCACGAGGAGTGAAATAAATGGGGTACAAGGGGTTTCAAGAGCCACAAAAGAAAAAATAAGTCCCAACTATTCACTTACGGACCTCACACAAATAACAATCGTTCTTTGACACTTGATCACTCGGTAGCAAATCACCGCTTTTTTCCAGCCATTGTCGTCGCTTCTCAATTTTTTTCACACTGGGAAGGGAGAAAAAACGATAATCATCCCTAGAAGATGCTTTGCAATTTATAATTGCACACGATTTAACCATTTTGCATGAATCAACTCGCACAGATTGTTCAGATCTATTGGAATATATTTTGGAGCAGCCATAAACAAACAACATTCGCGAGATATTTTCGCGCGAAAAATAAATATTGTTCAACATTGGACAAAAATGCATTTTCATTTTATTTTTAATGCTATTACATTGAGCAGTGATTTCACTCTCAATCTTGGTAATTATTTTCAGTAAAAAAAGAAAGAATTCACCTATTATAAGATAAAAATCACCCCATTAATGAAAGTGAGCGGGCCATTGACTATTAAAGAAATAGTACATGAAAAACCATGAATATATTTGCATTTTTTATTTTTCTCGCATTGTACATGTAATTTCATACGGGGCTAATTATTTTGACTTAAAATATAAATTTCATAACGTTCCCTCCAGCAAAATAAGTGCCACTGGTGGGAGACTAAAGGAGATGAGGGGAAGCGTAAGTCGACCGGAACGCCGCTTCTGGCGCTCCGGCGAACTTGTCCCCTGTTTTCTGGCTTCATCATACCTGCTTGTATCATATCTTATCGCATTTGACAATTTTTCCTTACGTCGCCCGATTATCCTTAAAGTAGCTCTACCCTTTTGGGGTTATATTTCAATTCAAAATTTTTTAAAAACTACAACAAATCGCCTAAAAACTCGGTGTGATTCGGAATCGTAATTTTTTTCCTCATTTAATTGTCGTTCAAGTTTTTCTAAAAGGAAATGTTGAAATCCATTATTTAACACAGGGTCTTATGTGAAAAACGCTGAATTTACCACAACTCTGGTTAAAACAAAGATTAAAATCTAATTTTTTTTCCTAAAAACGAGAAAAAAATAATAAAAAATATTGGCACCTGTTGGATAACGATTTATCGTTTAGTTTTTTTTATTATTAATAATACTGGCAACAGGAATAGACATGACAACAGTGACCATGTGATGGCGCCCGCTCCGTTCGTCTCCAACTTCCCATATGATCGTACGGCGTTGCCATAGTTATTTGCAAGCTAGTCAATTGAAAAACTGCTTATGTGCACTTTATTTAAAAAAAATTGACATAAGATAATACTTATGCTCATGACCTCTATGATTTATTTTATTAATTTAGAGCTAGAAATACTGATTTTTAGAATGTATTTTTTGTGAAATAGACTCAATGACTCCAGCCGTAGAGGTAGAGCTACTTTAAGTCGATCAGTAACCCCAAAAATGTACACCAAATGGTAGCTAGCGAATGGACTATGGGTGCGTTTTGCAATCGAGATAGTCACAGTAACAGTACTGCAACCCTATCCAATTTTGCTTGACTGCAGCTACGGTAGTTGATTCCAAAAGGTACTCTATATACGACCTTTTGCTTTTAGCAAAACAACCAAATCAATGTCAAAAAGTAGGGGAGAGTGGGGCAGAATGAAACAGTCGAAAAACAACTGTTTGATGTAATTCAAGCAAAAAATTTTTTTTCATCAACTTTTGTGTATCAACTTTTTTTAATTATTGGGAGTTCTGATGAAAATAGTAATTTTCCGTTCAGTAGAATGAAAAGTTATTGTGAAGTTTTGACGGGAGAAGATTCTATCCATAGATTAATTGAAAAGAAAATGATTCTAGGATAAATATTCCTATAAAAATCGTTCTTGGAAAATTGTTCCCCGGAAAAATGTTGGTCATATTTTCTTTTTCCACGCCGATTCCCGTTTTCTAGTAACGCTAATCAACTTAGCCAAGAGTATTGACGTGATATTGACATGAAACACGGCGCATAAACTCCGTAAAACTGAAGCGAATCACAGAGTGATGTCTTATTTCGAAGATTTTTATAGGTTCTTTAAGGATATCCAAGTATTTTGGCTATTTTTTCTCCAGTGAAATGCTTTTCTACTTCTGCAGTCGAACAGCAGAGCTTTCATTTGAGCCCCATTCGAACCCAAGTTTTCGGACATTGTACAGTGATGTTATTATTATCTAAACATTGCACGTCTGAATTCGAACGTTGATATTGAAGCGTTATAAAACATTTTAAAAATCTGGAAGAAATTAGAAAGTTTACTTGTGGGGGCAGATTAATGAAACAAGTGCAATTATTATTTAAAATTACAAGCATTTTCTGCAAATGATTTATAAAAAAATTTCCAGCATGAAAGTCATTTGTTCGGAATCGTAACAAATTTCTTCATATTCAGAACTTTACCAGAAATCGATTTAATGGTCTCATAGAAACTACCCAGAAGGGAAAATAAAAAATAAAAAATTCCGTCATTGCGATCTTTTGCTTTTAGGTCATTCTCAATTTTTTCAAAAATCCATGGTGATAGAAATTAAAAGTAAAAGGTCGTATGTAAAAAAAAAGAGATAGAATTTCGTCATGACGACTTTTTGCTTTTAAGTTATTTTTCATTTCTGGGTATACAAGTTAAAGGCAAAAAGTATATGCAGCTCATGTTCAATGTCAAAATGTAGATATTACAATAAGTCTTCCCAATTTTTTCACGGAAAATTGCAGAAAAAATGAGTAGCCAAAATATGACTTTGTCGCTTTAAGAAACTCGGAACGTAGCTGTTTGGCGTTTACGACCTTTTGCTTTTAGACACGCGATAGCATTCTCAACTCACTCGTTATGATAATATCCATAAAATAATTTGAATAAAATTTTGGTTCTTTTTCTTTATCCCGTTTACTATCGAATTTATCAAAAATGTTTCTCAATTCGTCTTTATATTTTCAGATCCGACAAAAAATGCAAGGACAAATTAATCGTCTCAATGAGTCTTTCGACCAAGCTCAGGGTCGTATCCGAACTCTCCAAGGTCACGTGAATTATTTGAAAACATCGTACAGCAATGTTTTCAATATCCCTGTCCACGCAGATGGTTCAACGTCTCCATTACCCCAAGAAAATATGAACTCTAGCCCCTACGACGCATGTGATTGCAATTCATAAATCTTCACTTTACGAATAAAATCAGGAAGGTTTTAACAATTTTTTTTTTCAATTAAAAAAAAACAAATATTTTACATTACGAAATTTTTTGTAAGTGGATTTTAACTCTTGAATAAATAGAATATACTTTCACGCATAGGATTTATTTCACACTTCCACACTTTTCATTCCTTTCGTAGAAGAAACATGGATTGTTATTTTAAAAAATTTAAAAACCTGAAAAGACCAACGTCATGGTGGCACTGTAATTTTTTTCGTCCATAAAAAAATTGTTTTATTAAATGCAAAAATCAAATCATAATGCGGTAGAGCTCCTCGTTTACCTTTTTCTGCATCAGTAGTATTTATTTTTCATTTATCAATATCCACATATTCTTTCAGTAATTATATTTTCCTTATTTAAAGTATTCTTCCTCTGGTAAAGTTTAGCGTAAGAAACAGAAGACTTTTATTAAAGGCTTAGAACTGTACCGTCGGTATTGACCTTGAAGAAAAATAATAAAAGAAAAAGAATCTGTGGCTATTTACAAGTAAAGCCAAGTAAAGATGAATAGTCCCCGATTTCTATGGGAGGGAATTAAGACGAGAAGAACGAAAGATTAATCATTGAAAGTGGCTTAAAATGTTCGAACATCGCATAATGCTGACGATCACTGAGAGTCCATATTACAGAGGGTGCTCATCATTTCAAATAATGTTCTGGACCTCGTATTTATCTTCTCCACGTCGGCTATCAGCTGTTCAAATTGCAATTGAAAATCGGCCATCGAATTCGGGGCCCTAAAAGTTATTAGGAAGATTGGTAAAATGTTTCCAGAACTGTTAATAGCGTATCAAAAATTAGTTTCTCATTTCATACCTATCGTTATTAAAGGAATGTGGCTGATTTTGTAAGCCAATGTCGGGAGCTGCTGTAACTCGAATGTCTGGTATTACTGTCTCAGACGCTTGGAGATGACTTGCATCTAAACTTGTGTGGGGATGACGACAATCACCACAGCTTTTTAAAAAATCCCGAAGAAATCCACGTACTCTTTTACCTGAGAGACGACGTCTTGAATTCTGTAAAAAGAGAAATATCGTATGGATTGAAAATACACAGCATTTACTAAAACTTGTATGTCCATTATGTTCGAAAAAAAATCTAAAAAATGTTGGTAATGTAAGTATATAAGGGCTCATATAAATTTTCGGATTTCAATCAATTTGAGCCGAACTTAATCAGGTAAATAACATGAAGAGAATTACCGGCTCAAATTTTGGCTTTTGTGCGGTTCATACCAGCTACGTCCCCGTCGCGAACGTAGGGTAATACTAATTGTAAGTGCTGGTGAGCCTTGATAGGTCAATAAAAAAAAACTTCTTCGCTACATGTTGAATTTAGATAAACCCTCATAAGTTGAAATTTTAACCATTGCTTTTAGAAGGAAAAGCGTAGGATGTGAAGTCCCATACATGTACATGAGCATCCATGTAACTAAGCGTGATGTCTCAAAGAGGTTAAATTCATGTGATAGAGACCAGATTCCGACCTAATTTACGTCGAAATACTTCAAAACTTAGGGGAGAGTGGGACAAAATGAAACAGTAAAAAAAAACCACTGTTTGATGCAATTCAAGCAAAAAAAAAATTTCTTATCAAATATTTTTTTTATCAACTTTTTTTTATTCTTGGGAGTACTGATGAAAATAATTGAGAAGCTTTGACGGGCGAAAATTTTGTCAGGGGATTAATTGAAAAGAAAATAAAACAGTAAAATCCAAAGTCCAGAGCAAGGTCCAGGGAGAGACCCAGAGGGGACAAAGGACAATGTGATACTGAATTTCAATCGAATAATCCATTAACAAAATCTTCGCCCATCAAGACTTCTCAATAATTTTCCATTCTACTGGATGGGAAATTATTATTCTCGTCATTACTCCCAAGAATAAAAAAAAGGTAATAAAAAAAATTGATAAAAAAATTTTTTTTGCTTGAATTGCGTCAAACAGTCGTTTTTGTACTATTTCATTTTGCCCCACTTTCCCTTACATATAAACCATAATATTTACCTATCAGTAAATCTGAAAATATGAGCCTTCTATAGTAACACATCACCAAAATGTTTAATACTATGGAACTGCAAATCGTTAGTGGATTGATAAAGCAGGAAGAGCAACTACACGGGAAATAAGAGCAATTTTCTTAAGCACCCTTTCTGTCTTTGCTTCCGAGATTTTGTCAAAGAATTCATTTTTTTCTGCCACTTGAACGTAATATAAAATGAAGAAAAAGAAGTTTATGCAAAGCAATCAACAGACTTTTTTTACAAAGCAAAATTTTACGGCCTACAAGAAAGATCGTTTGACATTTTTCTGTACACCCCAAAATTCACGTGAAAATAACTGCTCTTGTCAATTACTTACATCGGACACTTCGGAAGCCTCTGACTGCACAAGTGGGACAGTATCCCCAACAAATACCGGTTGTCCATCACTATGAACTCTCCCATGTGAACAATTATTATCAACTCTCGAATTGCATGGAATGTCAGCGGAGTGGCAGCGTTTTGGTAGATGACAACAAACATTCTCAGTGTCCCCAGCCATTGGATGAGAGGACATCTGATGCTTGCAGACCTCATTTTGTACATAATTCATGCACGAATGTTTAACATGAAGATTTGCAGGATTGGAAACAGATATCCCCCGGCAACCCATATTGTGTACTGCTCCACAAGAATTCTGAACAGTCTCACACTCGTAATCATTTACTTCGTGATTATGAACACAGCAGGGAGGATTTCTGGGCCTCATTTGAACTGGTGAATGGCCTCTTTGTTTCTGATTACAACCGAGACAATTTTGAGCCCCACGACTGTCCAAATTTGGCATGCTGCCAAATGGCCTGTCCACCTGATCATCAAGCGGCCCTGCAACACGACTCAATACTGTGCGCAATTTTCTCGGTACCCTCGCTCGAATTCCTGATGTTGGCGTCACTGCTTTTTGTTTTTTATTCGTGGAACAGACAAACGGAATTGTTCTCAATTTGTCCGCTGGAGTTTTTGTCCAGAATGCACTATTCTCGGGAGGATCTTCTTCCAAATCTTCCTCAATATCGTCAGACGTGGATTCTTGATTTATCTAAAAAAATGGGGAGAATCAATTAGCAATCAATTGAAAGAGTTTTTCAAATATCATTGATCACTCTGTCGTATTCCAATGGTCTTTCTAATCTATACATCAATACCTCGATGCTGTCAGTGGTAACTAATGAACAGGAAGGGAGAAATTAAATCATTTCAATGATGTCAAGCAAAATCAAGCAAAATTAAATAAAAATAAAACCCAATATTTTAAGGGCACTCAATTGAATTGCATGAAATAGAATTTATAAAATTAGCGAATGTCTTTTAAGATTATATTGAAGGAATATTGAATAAATTTACCTCTCTTCCCCAAATATTGAGTGTTCCATTAGCCTCCGACATTCTAACTTCAAGATTAGCCAACAAAAATGGTCCACACTCCCTGGCAACACCATTATTATCAACTTTATTAGTTTCCTCAGCCTGTAGTAAAAAGCTCCTTTCCTTACTGTCATTATCCTCTTTATAAACATAACACTTAATTCCATCATTAACATCAATCTCCTCAACATTATTATCCTCATCACGTTTATTTCCATCATTTTTCTGACTAGTATGCGAGTCCATCGTTGTTTTATCTCCTGCATCTGTTTCATAATCTGAATTCAATTCCCTCCGTAATTTGTTACTCAGAAAGGGCATTTTGAACGGCTGTGGGCCAACAGCAGACGTTCCATAATTATCACTAGCTTTACGCTTCCTTGAGCGATATTCATTCGTTACCAGGGGACTTATTGGTTCTTTTGACTGACCTGGACCATTATTCCTTCTGACACCAGTGTTTGGATTTGCTGGGTCTGGTTTACCCTGGGTTATGTTGGCAAGTGTCTGCAAGATTCTTGAGCTCGTGTAGAATGCCTGAGAGAGAGGACGATTTGTTTTTCGTGGAGTTCCCAGACAGAAACTGTCGTCTGAGTTTAGAATGCTACCGACATTTGGAGGTTTGAGGGAGACTGAAGGACTGCAATTGCTATCTGTCCACTGCTCCACTGAACTTGGACCTGAAGCAATGCTGCTGCTCAACATTTTTTGCTGTGGAACTTTCAGATAACTCACAGTGCTCTTATCAATTAATGCTGGCAAAGTTTCTGTTTGTACTTCAGCTGTTTTCATTTCTTTTGATTTTTCATTCTGTTGCTTTTCCTTCTGATAGTGGGCTAGAGTCTTTTTCAGCTCACTTAATTCTTTCTCGAGTTGGAGGTTTCTGTCAGCCATCAAGTTGTAATCGTTCTTCAGCTGAAAGTTTTTGTTTACTATTCTCTTGTAATCTTCCTTAATTCCATCACATTCCACCACTTTCTGGTTCAATTGGGCTTTCAAAAGGGAAACTGCTGGGTTCTCTGTGCGGTGTCTCTCAGTTATCACGATCTCCTCGGAAATCGTCTCGACGTGTTGGATTTTCAAAGCACCTGGAGCTGTTGACAAATTTTCTTGAGTTACTGTGGGTAATTCGAGAGGGTCTGAGGTGGGCCTCTTTTGCTTTTCAGTCTTTTGGTCTTGGTTTCCATCGAAGGTTCCCTTAAGGAAGTCCTCGTATGACACTGATTGACAGTTCGTTATTTGCTGCATCTCGTCCTTACCGTTTGTGAGAATCTCATGGTTTAGTTCTTGGTCGTTTTTCGAATTGATGGAAGATCTTGGCTCAACTGTAGTTGAATAATCAACAATCAGCAGACCGTTGGTTTTTTTATCCATCTGACGCTGGGGTTTGTCCTCACAAATTTCGTTCTCTTTATCCACCTCCATTACCATGGCGGTGTCGTAGCATTTTTTCAAGGTCTCACCTGTGTCCACGGATATTATCTCAGCACCGTTCTCAACCAGGTGACAGTTTACCGTCATGTCCTCGGCGCGAGTTGGGTCCTCTACTATCATGTGCTTCATGTTACTCTCCATGTAGCTTTTAAGGAGACGACTTTGAGGGTTCACTCGAATGTCTGTCTCCATAGCTTGGTCTGAAATACATTATATTTAGATAAGCTAAAACGTATAAAACGTGATGGAAAGATAGGGAAAGTTCTCTGAAATTGTACAGTTCTAACCCAGAACAAGTGATGGTGTTAGGAATGTCAGGAAAACTTTCTCAAAGTTCATTAAATATTAGGTTGATTCTATATTCGACCAGGTGGGAAACATTCAATTTGATACGATTTAGGGTTCATTGGAATCTTTCAATTCATTTGTTGTGACGATTTTCCACAATCATGGAAAATCGTTATAGGGGAATTGATCGATGTCCAAGGAAAAACAAATTATCTATTTTATACACTAGTAACACGTTATGTTGAAAAAGAATATCACTGATTGAGTTTTATCAATCAGTAATACAGATTTAGTACAACTTCATTTATTTAATTTTGTAAAAATAGACGAGATCCACAAATATTAGAAAAATCTGTCTGCAAATATTTCAAAAACTGATAGGTTTCAAATCCATCAAATTTTCTACAGAAAAGTTCCCTGCAGAATTTTTCAAAAAACCACGTTTGCAACTTGTATTCAAAAACTATTGTCTAACCTCTCTTAATCGCATTGGCAAACTCTCGATTGACATCAAGAGGATCCCTGGTTCTCCTCTGCCTTGACAAGCGACTCTGTTCTTTCATACCGTCAATGTACTGCTTCACCTTACTAGAGACATGTCCATATTTAGGACCCCCTAAAAAACTTCTCCTCTGACCACCAAGATTGAACTCTGCTCTGCCATCCAGCTCAGACTGGTGCCTCTTACTATTGAACTTGCCAGTTCGACGATTGGGACTTGTTAAATCTTGCAGTGATCTGCTTCGTTCTCTGGCTGGACTCTCCAGTACTTCCGATGGGCGCTGGACAAAGTCGTCAGAGGATCTTTCAAATTGCTCAGCTTCAATTTCACCATCACTGTAGTCCTCATCATCTTCATCATGACGTCTCATATACTCTCCTTCCTCTTCTTCTTCATCTTCATCGTCGTAATCCCTTTCTTCCTCTGCGAAAAAATTGTATAACTTGGAATCAGCTAATTCGGAATCTCAAGAGAGAAAAAAAAAGTTGAGGAAAAAAATGAGCTTTAAAATTCAATATAAAGTCCCTGATGTAATACTCATGTACAATAGAAAACAATACTAAATATCCTCTGGTTGAATTGTAATTTTGAATCGATAAAAAATATTCAAACAAGTGTTGTTCTTGTTTTCTATTTTTACCAATTCCATTGGTAATAAGCTTCCGAATGGTTCAAAAGTAGAAATAATCAAAGTCAAGCAATTGGTCTTGACAATAGTTTTATTACATTTTTTTCTTTTCTGGGTTGTAGAATGTAATTTTGTTTGTTGAACTTCACCAAAATCATCCATCTAAAATTTATCAACATTTTCATTGTTAAAATGCGCATAACTCCAGACCTATGAGGTCTGCAACAAGAAAGTTCGCATATCAAATACTCGTCTCATAGAGACAAATCCATTCATGTTTGCCTCATCGGAAAATCGGAATATCTGTATTAACAAGAAGAGGAGAAACATTTAGTTATCCGAGGAGCGCGCGCGCCTATGCATCACTTATATTGACTGCAGCGCACCGGCATATCTCGAGCGCGCGCACACTTCCCGGATAAAAAAAAACTATGCAAATATTTTTGTTGTGCAACTCACAGTTGTCCAGTTATAAACATTTAAACAATTAAATTGTTTATAACAGTCAAAGATATGATTTTGGTGAAGAAAATACCAAAGTCGATCCATGACCTCTCAGTGGATACCATTTGACCCTTAGCGTATCACACCGTTTACATTTGTGGATTATTAGTGTAGAATCTCCGTGAGGACTTTGGCTATGAATTATTTCAATAAGTTTCATATAAAAGAATGCACAATAGAAAACTGTTTCAATTGTTTTGCAATTGTTTTTTTTCCGATTTTCGTAAAAACTATTCTTTGCATGATTTTTTCTGTGGAATCCCATTCTGTTCCCTGACTTGAAAAAAAATCCCCAACCTAAATTTTTAAAATAGTTCCTTGAATACAATCAGCATTTTTCGCTCCTTAATTATGAAAAATGTGATAGAAGATGCATTTTGACATGTATTCATTTATCAAAATTTTTCATTAATATCTAAAAAAAATTCTTTCGTTCAAATAAAAAAAATATATATTTTCTCTCATATACCCTTTCGGGTTTTTACGATTTGTTCCCTTCCACCCCCCCAACCCCCTGTACCGCATTCGTCGAAGGACGAGGGAAAACCTCACTTGAGGGAAAAACCTGCCCAGGTATAGTCGTCCCTTTAACGGGACTCCCGCTCGACAGTGAAACTGTGAAATTTAGTGTTACAAATTTTGGCTCCCCAGCCGGGTATCGAACCCGGGTCGCTCACGTGCCAATCCCATACTCTAACGACACAGCCACGGCCGTCGGTCTTTCGTTCAAATATTATGTATAAACTTCATTCAGAAATGATATAGTACATTACATGCCCGAGCCTTGGAAAACAGATCATCGTCCCCCACGTGCAAGATTGCCTTCCGAGCCGAAGGCGATGATGGCAAGCACGTGGGGGAGGGTGATATGGTTTCCATGGCGAGGTGTGTATATTAATTTTTAGGTCCCGTGACACGAAAACTCATTTTTCGTTCACGAAAAATGAGTATGAGCATGAGTATGTTTTTCCTAGGTTCATGAGGATCTAATGGATCTACTTAATCTATGGTTGAAAGAGTTCTCAGTACTCCAGATTTCGCTGGCGCACTTTCATAAATTCGAATTGGTGCATTTTTTCTGTACTGTTTCCATTAATTTGTAATTTTTTCAGTTATTTTCCTTATTCGAATCAGAGCGCAGTATTTGAGGCTACCCAACAATTTAATCGGTTATTTCTCTCAAACTTCATTACATTGAAAAAATGGGCTACATTTTGCCGAAAAATTTTGAAGCACAAGTGGTATTACTACTGGAAATTCACTCATTCTAATTGGTATTGATCGGAAACATTTGAGAATGAAATCAACCCACTAAAAATAACAACTTTTTTGGTTGACACATTAACTTCCAAATGCATCTTCCTGTACACTTGTCGTAGTTAAGAAGCTAAAATTAGTAATTCAAGTATATTAAAGAAAAGTAGAATTTTCGGTTACAACAGAATCGAAACTCTAATTTTAAGCGGTCAGAGATAATGCCAACTCAGAAAATCGGATTCTAGTCAACTTTGACAGGATTTCGAATGCCCCTTGAACTTAACAATCCACCAGATATTCCCCTGAAGCTTCCTCTCAAATACAAATAAGTGTATCAAGTCTTGCTGAAAAATCCCAGGTGTTGCGCACTCAGGATTCCAGCCTGTCAAACTTGACACCTTCATTTGTTTGCAACGAAGCTTTTGTGGGAATATCCGATAAGTTCGAGTTAGGGGCCTTAACGATTCAAAGAGTCGACAGAGCAACAAGCTCTAAATAAAAGCAGATTTTTCTATAAAAAAATGAAATCTGGGATTTATTTGATGTTTTTTCAAAGAAAACCTCAAAAAATAAGAAATCGAAAATTTGTTATTTTTGTGTCTTTTACACTGCCTGAGCAATGCCGGGGCGTACAACTAGCGAATGAATAAAACAGAAGCATTGCTTAGTACCTTTAACAATCGATTATTTTTACGATCCATTATTATGCATTATATAAAACACAATTACCATCAGAGGTATAATCCTCTTCATCCTCGACCCCATCGAATCCCCGATCGCTTTCCTCTCCCGATGTCACCAATTCCACAACACTGCTGTTACTCCTGTCCCCCTCCGAATTCTCTTCGTCGCGTTCCCGCTCCGCAGGTGCTTCATGAGCCTCCAATTGAGGTTGTGTTTGCCCATCACTCTCAATCCTCGAGTCATCCGGTTTTGTGGAGCTCGAAATACTCGTGGCATTCATGTAGGATGGCATCTTCTCGTCCTCGATTGTTTCACCCTCAAACATCATCAATTCTGTACCCTTGTTACATACCTCCTCCTGATCCTGGGAAATCGTCTCCTCGCCCGGCTTCACCTCGAGATTATCCTCGCCCATAGGCGCTGCCGGCTCCTCCGACATTTGTAATGTTATTTTAGAATATTAAAAATGTTGACCTTTCAACGTTTTGCTGTTGTGGATAAATATTAGAATGTCCGTCACTGCGTCCCGGACCCGATGAGAACTCGAGCCTACAGCCCGCGGATTCACTCGTTATCGTCCGCCATAATGGCGGCTGGCGGCACTTTAGCACACTACAGTCCAACTCATGTGCGTACGTGAGCTAAGTGGGGGAATGCTATATCTCGTTCCCTGGTTTCTACACCGCTCGTAACATAAGTTTTTCACCAATAAAATATTTCATTTGTTTTTTTTTTTCAAAATTGTTTAGATTTTTTCGTTTTTCTTTTTGTGCGCATGTCTTTGTCTACGGAATTTGCTAATTGGAGAAAGTACGCTTTTTCCCCGAATGGTTTTTTTAAATTTGTTTAGGATATTGGTATTAATTTGACAAGCTTCAGAAAATTTGGAGCTGTAGGTTTTCTTAATATCTGAGGATTTCTGGATGATTTGTTTTTATTTTGTTTACGGCGAAGATGGAGGACGAGAGAGGAACCCGGTAGTTGATATATTATATTTGATATATATATATATATATATATATATATA